CATATTCTTCCCACTTCTCACTACATGCATAAGGATACATTCTACTTAAAAAAAAAAAAAACAACAAGCACTTCATGTGGGGAAAGGTCTGTCTGTAGTAACGTAACATTGCTCTCTTCTGAGGATTCCTAATAGCTTTTAACACAAAAAGTCACTACAGCATTTGGAAATGCAGAGTATATAAATCTACTCACTAATTTTGTAAACCTATATTCAACTTAGTTTTCTTCTTTTCAATGAAGCAGAATGAGATGACTTTAATTTTGCACTAATCAAGCCAAACTATCTTCTCAATGCTTTCTTAATTGATCATCTCTAACAATAGTCATATAATCCACCAAATAATCAAAACGTAAATGAAATTGAGATGAATATGGAAAGTATTTGAGAATCCCAACAAGAAACTTATGAAATCCTTGGCATCTAGAAAGCCAAAATTGAGAAAGAAAAATTATTTACTTAAGATGTAAAGACACAATGATTCCATCCAATGATATCTGTTCTTAAAATGACAAAAATTGATGTGGGTTACTGTAGGTCAAGTGTCAGTTAAGGCCATAGCAAAGGTAAAACTCTATGGGTGCCAAAAATAAACCACAAAGGAAACATTTCTTAAAAGTGATAAAGACACAAAAAGGAAGAAGTCATCATATTCAACATAAGTGAATTACAACCAGCAAATCTAAAATCTTTATGTGTATATAAGTTGACGTTTCCTAATACACATATACGTACATGTATGTATACACATATATTATGTAAATTATGAGGAATCCAAAACATGCAAGTAATTCCTTTTTTTATTCAGCTATATTGTACTTGAACAGGATGGGGACAAAATTCTCAAAAGAAAGAAGTAGCTTCAGGAGGAATTATATGATTTACCAAATCTATCTATTCTTTAAAAGAACACCATTCTGATTTGGTAACAACCAAACATTGATATTACTTAGATCTGAATAAATAAATCAAACCCAACCTTTAACCATTGGTCAAAGTGCATGATCTATCACTGGATTCCAAACTGAAGGAAAACAAAAAAAAAATTCTCTCCTCCTGATTTACTAGAATTTTATGCCTATCTGACCTGAAATCTGAGTTCTTTACATGAAAGGGATTTTATACTGTATTTCAGAGAACTAAGTGATCTATATTCATCTAAAACAGTGCTAGTTTAGTGTATACTAAATTAGTTCTAGAAAAGTAAGGGGCGGGTTTTTTTTACACAAATAGGGAATGAACATCTCTAAGCCAACCAACCATATATTTAATAATTATTAACATGCTTATGTTTAATACGTTTTTTAAAGTTTTCCATATAACAAGAAATGGAAGCTTCCTTCACAGATTTAGAAAAATTACAAAATTGGGCTCCTATTTCATTCTACCCTATGTCACTTTTGTCATTATCATCTTTTCTGATTCTTACAAAGCAAACCTAATTAAGAACCTCTCTCATTAGTCTTCCAGAAAAATTAGCACAGCTTATGCTAATTACTCCTGCAAAATTTAATAAACTCATTGAAATGGGAATAGTTTAATGAGGTTTTATTTATTGAACTAATATAACTCTAAGGAAAAAGGTTAGGACACAAGGATATTCAATGTGGTAATAAAACTACAATTTGTTCAATTTCTGAACAAGAATTTTATTGCAAACCTTTTAAATTCAAATACCAGTTACTGTGTGAACGTTAAATCAATCTTGAACTTAATTTAATAACAGGAAGTATATTTTTTGAAAATTTAACAACAATTACCATACAACCAATCATCTCAACTGTAATGGTGTCATTAGCTCCTGGTCATCAACTCTTCAGACTAACACATTTAACCACAGCCATACCTAGATAACCTCCAAAATCTGGATATTTGGAAACATCTATGACAATTACCACCTTCAAGGAACACGAAACAAATTCCTGTAATTGTATTAAAACTGTTGAGGTCTCTTTTTCTCACTGTGCTGGGTTCAATCACAGTAGAGCACAAATGGGAGCCCATTTCCTAGGTCAGATCTTCCAGCAACCAAGGTTATTTTTTTTTGATTCCACTTATTTTGATAAGCTACATCTAGCTAGTTGCTATCTCCAAATTACTAGCAACAAATAACTACAGTTAAGTTTTAAGTCACAAAATAGCTTATTTTGCACCATAGAATAGCTTTGTCTGGTCACAAGGCTAACTACCCTATAAATAGTTTTCCTGAATAACCACAGCTAAAAGTCTTTCAAGTGATAAAAATAGAAATGTTCTTCCAAAATCTGAAGGGCAAGAAGAGGGGACTGAAAATTATTAGTGTCCAAATGTGGACTGTGTATGAAAACTATGCTAAATCCCAACACAATTGATCACACTCCCAATTCCATAATTGCGCATTGTTATATGTCTTGTAGAAACAGTTACTATTGCTGATGTATGCAGGCCTCGTGGCCTATTTTACACAATATGCTGGGATTCGCATCCATAAATCTGAAAGCAGATCAAACTCTAAGCACGTAACACAGATATTATGCAATCCGTAATATGGAATCAAATTGGAAACTATGAAATTCAAACACGGTTGCCATCATATTTTTCCTTCACAGCAATTTTATGGAATTGAAAAATCTTTTCTATTTAGCCTTCCCTTGTATAAGTTCTTTGTTGCTGTTATTCTCTTCTTGTTAAAAAATGGAAGTTTCACATGTCAGCAGACAGGACAAGGGCTTTTTAAAGCTCTGGCAGTCCGAAGGACAAATAAATTCTGAAAACTCATATGCAAATAAAAATAGCTAAATGGGGTTTTGCATATCAGTTGGCATCATAGCTTAAAAAGATGGTTCACATGCACAAGTGATAACAGCAGGCAAATAAACATATGTTAGGACTTGTGCAGATATTCCAGTGCTTCACTAGAATTCGCTGATTTAAAAAGCGCTCCTTTTGAGAGACAGACACTGCCTACATACGATTTCCTACTTCCCAAACCAAAGGGGAAAAAAAATGAAAAGGATAAATGTCATGAGTAATATTACTAAAGCCACCAACAGTATAAAGTGCATACTTATTTTGCCTAAATTGTTTGAACTACCCCAGCCAAGAAAAGGTTTTAAGTACCCTACTGGGACAGATGCAAAGCGGCAACAATAGAGGCCGAACTAATGCAATCCAGGTAACACAATCCTGTTTCAAAAACACAGGCTGGGCTAATTATGGCACTGCTGAGTCAAGTTTCTTATGCCATTGCAACCCACAGGAACAGGTCAAAATCAAATGTTATTCAAACCACAGTCATATCAACCTTCTATATCAGAGTCACAATTTAAAACCGAATGAAGAACTTAAAAGCTTAACCCATTCACAAGCAAAAAAATGTTTCATTGCGGGTGGCGAGGTAAGGTTTATTTTATCATCTAAACTGAACTGTGTGCATAACAGGATGTTAGCGATTTGGGGGCTTTGCCTAATATGTAAACTCATTCTTTGATCAGAATTATTCTTTTTTATATAAAAAATGTTGTTTCAAAAAGGCTAACATAATATTTACGTTGATTACCAAGCTACAAAGTGCCAATTGAGTAAGCTGAACTGCCTATACAACAAATTTATGTGTATGTGTGTATTATAGTCATACTTTGCCTAACTCAAAATTTTTATGTATCTCTGCAGAAAAAGTGGGAAGTGTATGCCTACATGTAAATAGACATGGCCTTTTAATTCTCTTCGTGGTGTGGTCAGGTTAATAGCACTCACATGTAACTTTCATACCACCTTACAGAGAATGAAAATGCATTTTAGAGGTCTAAATGTTAAATTATTTCATAGGCTAAGGATCTCTGTTTAATAATTCTCTTTTTGTTGCAACCTGGAAGCATATGTTTGGCAATAAACATTTGCTTTGGCTTTTAGCCGCAGTAAGAGAAAAGAAGAGCTACGGATCACACAACTTAGGTGTTAATGAAGTCTGGGTGTGCAGAACATATCTTCTCTGCTTTATTGCTCACCAAAAATGGACAATCCAGCAAAGGAGATTCAAACCATATAAAATTGATGCATCACCTTTAAAAAAATTTGCTAAAACCCTGAAAAGATTTTTTTGATTAGCCCTTGTGCTTCCTTATGGGAGGAAGAGAATCACTCTTTCACAAGGTTCTTTTTGTGGACTAGTGGAAGGCGCTCCTCTTCCTAGCTGACAACTGACAGAATTCACAAACCTTCCAGGCCATTTAACTCTCAAAGACTAATGCTACATAACAAATGGTTTATCATATATGTTTCCGTACAATGAATTTCAATAATTAAAATGGAAAATGAATATTTGGAATGCAACTTTGCATAATGTGTAAGCACAGTGACTTGAAATGGCAATATACAACTAAAACAGATTTATTGTTCTACCATGATTTACTTGGTCATGTCAGATTAGTAATATGGATCTGTTTAAAAACACAATAATTAAGACAAGCAGGATGAATTAATCAACTCACAATACAGTAAAAGTAGCAATCAAACCAGGAAAATAATAGTAGAAAATCTTAGTTCACAGATCTCTTTTAACTGCTTTTATGCATAAATAAAAACCTTAAAATGTAGATGGATTGCATCCAACAGAACTACTGTAGCTAAAAGTGATAATGATTCAAACATTTTTCAAATAAAAGTTAAATATTTATAAGTACCCAACCACATTTCATAAATCACAAACTATTATTATTTTATTTCTGAAGCTTCCTGGCACAGCATGAAGACTGAACCACAGAAAGTCAGGGGAGAAAAAAAAAATCTCTCTTTCAGAGTATGAATCAGACACAAAACCAGAGCCCTCCAAGGAACAGGTCTCCCTCCAAATAACATTCCATATGGCCTTCATGGGAACTGCAGTCACAGCTCGGCTTAATTCGCTATCAACAACCAAATTTCATCCATATACATCCATAACCCTTGCCCGTTGGTGACACAGGGCAGGTGTTTCATTATAATGAGGAATAAAGATTCAAGGAAAGAATAGTGGCCCCTACCTGTCAATTATCACTGGATCTGAGGGAGTTTCATTTCGGTTGCCACAGCTTTTCTTGTCACAACAGCGGCTATAGAGCAAAAGTGAAAGGATTTAGTACGACCATTACATTGTAAAATTATCATTAGGCAGACAGAAGGTTCAAATTGCTGGGTTACATATGGTAGAATTACCATGAAGCCATACCTGGAACTCAACCGATCTTTGTGACAGAAAATTCTATTTGGGTCACCTATGGGTTAATGATTATGTTTAACTTCTCCAGGCACAGCTGGGTAGGAACCATGAGGTGGGGGTGGGGTGGGGGATCCTCCCCCGCCATGAATTACAGACCTAATAACTGCTCTCCCATTCACTAGCCTACATAGGGGCAGATCATGGAATGTTAGAATTAGAGGAGGCCTGAGAAACCATTGAGGCAGACCCTACAGTTTACAAATGAAGAAACTGAGGTCTTGAGCGAGGGCTGATTGGCTCAAGGTCACACAGGGTATAAGTGGGAGGACCAGAATTATAATCTGGAGATTCTCACTCCAGTTCCATGCTCTTTATGCTCCCTCTGTATACAATTGCCACTTGGACCCGGTGTAAAAAAAGGTTCAGAATTATAGAAAGATCAACTGGTTTTCATTTTACAGGAAGTAAAAATAATGACAGAGGTACATTTTTTTTCCTTTCCCATGATCATGGAACAATAGGACTTGGGGCTATAAATGACCATTGTGACCATTTCAACAAATCCCCTCATTTTGCAGATGAGGAAACTGAGGCCCAAAATGATGATGATGATGATGATGATGATAGCTAACATTATATAGTACTTTAAGGTTTCTGAAGCACTTTACAAATATCTCATTCATCCTCAAAACAACCCTGGAAAATAGGTGCTATCTTTATCCCCATTTTAGAAATGAGGAAACTGAGGCAGACAAAAGTTAAGTGACTGGTCCAGGGTCATACAGTAAGTGTCAGAGGCTGGATTAGAATTCAGGTCTTCCTGACTCTGGTTTCCAGCACTCTAATGACCTCATTGCTCAAGGTCACAGAGTAGTAAGCAGCAAAACTGAAATTTGAACTCAGGTCTTGTGACCCTAGGCAGCTAGGTGGTGCAGTGGATAGAGTAGTAGTCTGGGAATCAGAAAGACTCTTCCTGAGTTCAAATCTGGCCTCAGACACTTACTAACTGTGGGACTCTGGGCAAGGTACTTAACCCTGTTTGCCTCAGTTTCTTTATCTGTAGAATGAGCTAGAGAAGGAAGTAGCAAATCACTCTGGTATCTGCCAAGAAAACCCCAAATGGGGTCAGAAGGAGTCAGACAGCACTGAATCACAACAAACTTGTGACCCCAAATCCAATAGTCTCTATTTTCTTTGTGGGAAGAGTTTCCTTCAAAGAAAATGATTCCAAAATCCTAAAATAAAGTTTTGCATGGAGGCTACCTTCGCTACAGTCAGAATTCTTAAAGGTGAGAGGAGGGCAGCAGAGAAAGGTTACAAACTCCCTCTGCCAGCTGTTCTTTGTGTTCAAGTTTGAACACTGTTTTAAATTTTCTGAGAACGTTAATGGCCACTCATATTATGGTAAGATTTACCCTAGAAACTGATGCCTTCTATCAGGTCATATAAAGCAGGAATGTGAAATGTAAGCTCCCTCTACCCAGACTCCACTCGAACTCTGACTTTGAGGTCTGCATTCTTTACAAACTAAGACCTTGCCATGTTCCAAAGGATTTTAAAATATTATTTGTAAGGAATGCTCTTTGGAGAATGGACCATTTAAGAATCACATTTATAAGTTAAATTTACCATGGTGACAAATCCACACAGACTTGATATAAACCAATAACCACTGACATGCATATCATGCTGTAAGGTTTACAAAGCACTTTACTTTATGTCATTTAATCCTCAAAATAACCTTCTGCCACAGGGATCATTATCATCCCCATAAAGACTACTGAGGCATGGTCCCAGTTATGGAATATACAGTGTGTAGTTTGTGTTGACTGCTATATCACCTGCGTGAAATGGAGTTCAAATATACCTTAAAGAGAGGGGTTAAACAAAACAAGGGATGTATAAGACAAAAACCTCTGCCACAACCCTGATGTGTGAGTCCCCTGCTATAGGAGAAGTAATGCTGACTTGTGCCTACCTACACTTATCAATTCAAGAAGCTGGTGATAGAGTCTAACTTCTAGAAACACGTCTTCTACCCTGGCTCCAGCTTCCTGGTGTTTTGGGTGCCCTCTCTCCTCTACATTTTGCAAAGGCAACATAATTAACAAAAAAAATCTAGAAGGCTCATTTTCTTCTTCCCCAGAGGGCCAAAATTGCTAGGGAACCACCCAATATTTTTTGTCTCCAACAAAGGTTGGATGACCATTTTTTTGGTTATGTTACAGAACGGATTCTCATTCAGTTATGAGAGTGGACGGTCTCAGTGATTCTCTTGGGTTCTGCAATTATTCTTTTCTCTGCTTCAACAGCGAGTGAGACATTAAATGGCTCAAAGTTTACCCTCCCTAGTGACCTCCAGATTGCTTAGACTTAGCAAACTCTGAATGCAAGTCTCTACTCATCCATTCGACAGATATTTAGTGATTTCCATTCATGCAGACAGCGCTGTATTAGGGACTTTATCCATTCCATAGTATGGTAGTTCATTCCCTCCAAACCTGATTACAGCAGCTGAAGTCTCAATGAAAATGAGAAACGTACCTTTGCTTGCTGTAGGAAGAAGGGCATAAGAAATGTATTTGGGACATTTTGATATGAAATGGAAAGTATAAAAAGACTAAGGAGAGGAGGGAAAAGGAATACAGAATGGAAGAAAACAGGTGGGGGGAAGTAGGAAAGAATCACAGAAGACTAGAGAGAGTAGAGAAAAGAACTATGATAAAGGAAATAAAACACAAGAGAGGCCAAGGAGAAAGAAGGAAAGACCGAAAACCAAACCAGAACGTAAAGGGATTAGATCAGTTAACAGTCATGATTTAAAAAAAAAAAACTTCATAATTAAGTATGAAGAATATTTTTTAAAGTCATTTGCCACATCCCATCTCATCAAGGTTGGAGTAAGGTCCTTTTTCAATATTAACATTTGCTAGTAAATATAGGAGCATTTTGCTGTATGCCTAAGTCTATGGGCATCACTAGACTTTTTTCCTAAACCCAAAACCCACTTTGTTTGCCCTTTGTATGCATTTATTCCAGAAGCCTGAAACTTTACTACCAGTCATTTGTTTATCATTTGGAAAAAACATACTCAACATATTGAGAGGCCTTTTCCCAGGATCTCACTATGGCCACGAAGTCCCAGGGAATTGGAACAGACTGCCAGGGAGCAAAATCCATTGAAAACCCACTGAGAAATAGCAATTATGGCACAGATAAAAGAGTTAGAAAACCTGGGTTTAAATCCCAGCTCTGCTGCTTCCTAAGCCACATGATAATGGGCAAATCACTTAGCCTCCCTGAAATTCAGTATCCTTACATGTGAAGTTGTGGCCACCCTAAGGCAACAGAGAAACATGGCGGGTGTGAACAGTGTATGGCATATCATGGAAGAAGACTTGCTCCTCTATGGTGCCATAAAAGATATGGAAAGAGACGTCCAACTAGAAAAGGAGGTGGGCTGGTCACGTAGCGAGAGGGCAGACCAGTCAGATCATGAAAACAGGATAATGGATGGACAGCCTCTACTCTCCTTTGATGTCCACATAGTATCAAGAAACCCAGAAGAAGGCGTTTCTGTACACCAAGTGGACCTGAAGTGGAGGATTTAGGGATCATGGACAAGAATGAGAGGAGATGAAAAGGTGTAGATGGGTTGTGAGCTATGCTGTTGGAGGGGCAGTCCACAAAAGGAGATCCCAGATCCATCAATATGATAAAAATGGGAATAGAAGTATATATAACACTTATTCCACAGGATTGGTGCACCAGTCAAATAATATATGTAAAATAATGCTGTGTGGATGTAGAGAGATAACATGGTATAAAGAAAAGGAAGCCAGCCTCAGGAAGACCAAGGGTTCAAATCCTGTCTCTGACACACTAGCCATTTGGTCCTAGACCAGTCACCTAACCCCCTGAGTACCCCCAAGCAACTCTTTAAGACTATGAGTTGGGGCAGCTAGGTGGCACAGTGGATACAGCTCTGGCGTTGGAGTCAGGAGGACCTGAGTTCAAATCCGGCCTCAAACACTTCATACTTACTAGCTGTGTGACCCTGGGCAAGTCACTTAACCCCAACTGCCTCACCAAAAAGCAAAAATTAAACACAAATAAAGACTATAAGTTGTAGGGTAGGTGCTTATCTGCATAGGTAGAGGAAGTTTTCTGACTGGAATCTCCCTAGAACATACACGTGTGTGTGTGTGTATGTGTGTGTGCGTGTGTGTGTGTGTGTGTGTGTGTGTGTGTGTGTGTGTAGTATTGATGGTAGGAGTCAGAGCTGAAGTACAAGGAAGACTGGCAAACCAAGACACTATTAGTTCCTGAAATCCTTGAAGAAGAAATTTAAGTTGTACTATACATAATGGAGAAAAACACATGCAGATCTAAACAACAAAGGCAATTAACTCTTTTTTAAAGTGTATTGTTAAATAATAATAAATAATGCATGCAGTTAATAATAGTAAATAGTTATATAGCACTTTGTAAAGTGCTTTACAAAGATTGTCATTTTATCCTCTCAACATTGGAAGGTAGGTGCCCTTATCATCCCCATTTTACAGATGAGGAAACTGAGACAGACAGCAGTTAAGCTACTTGTCCAGGGCCACACAACTAAGGCCAGATTTGAACTCAAGAATTCCTGACTCCAGGTCTAGCACTCTGTCACCCACTGCGCCACCTAGGTTGTCCAAATGCAGTCATTTTCCATTCTTTAAGGTAGTGCTCAATACTAGTGTTCCAGAAATTAGGATGCTAAGCAGTGCCTTTTCGTGCAAGTTTGGTTGATCTCTAACCAGAACTGTCCCAGGATGGAAAATTAATTCCCACCTTAAGGAAAGGAGGGCTAAAAGAGATCAACTCCAATAGTCCCAGCTGTGTGAACCCAGA